ATTGTCTCCCCTGTGGATTAAAGACACCCTTCTTAACAAGCACATTGAGTAGCTTAGGTTTCCAAAACTCTCCAGGACCAGTAATTAATCTAGCTGGTAATGAGAGTACAGTGCTGAGTTCTGGAAAGGAATCTTTTAACTCTTTGCATACTGGATAGCTCATTTTCCCTTATTGATAGTCCTTTAGCCATAGCACTGTTTATTGGGACAGCATAAAAGCAGTCTGGTAGCAAATTGCCTTTCTTAGTAAAGTCAGATTCTCTCTATGCATTTAAAAGCAAAGAATGTACTTCATCCCCAAGGTACACAAATTTGAAAAGTAAACTATTATGGAAGGTGCTTTTTACCTCTTATTTTGATATGGGAACAAATTTTGTAGAGTTGATAATTAGTACTATAAAGGCTAAATTCTGCCTCTGAATTAGAACTTGTACACCAACTGTTAATTTCATCTTGTTTCCATTTTTTTAATTTACTAGAGGTTTTCCCTGTGGACGTAGCCTTTCCTTTGAGCTGCTTCCATTTCTCCTGCTTTTTAATATTATTTTTGCTGTCTTCCTAGGAGTTTGAAACATTTCCCATCCAGAGATTTCTAACATGGAAACATCTTTGAGAGGCTTCCTCGTTCTCTTTCCTCTTATTATGATTACATTTGAGTCCCATTTTCTGATGATTTCCATTAATAATCTGCTTACATACTTTTTTTTAATGCTCAAAGATCCAACAGAGCTAAGCACTGAAACTCCCTATGCACTGGGGGCAGGGGGATAACTGCTTCCTTAGGTAAGAAATTGGCCTAGATGGTCATTTGGTTCCTTCTTGATTCTAGCATTCTTTATTTCTCACCCTCAACCATGTTTGCACAAATTATTTAAACTCATTCTTCTGCCTCCTCCTACCTTTTTCCACTATACCCATTGTGAAAAACTAAGGATAAATGTTTTTGTGTACTTCACAGTGTGTTTAATCTTAGAAAATCACTTTAGAACATAGGCTCTTTGAATTTGAAAAATGGCTGATGACTGAAGTAATAGCAATAAAACTGCTATTAATTTATTGCAACTATGTATATGCCTGCTATCTCTGATCCTCTCATTGACCCTGTATATTTGCCATTATCATACTGTTTTACAGTTGAGAAACTAAGATTCAGAGGAGTTGGAGTTCAGCCTCTAGAGCTTGTGTTCTCATTGGTGTATACAAAAAGTTAACTCAAGAGAAGTAATGGAGATAGATTCCATGAAGAATGTAGGACTTGTTGGGCCTTAAGGAATGAGCAGTGCCATTGGAATAGTAGCTTGAGAAAGTGGTCCAGTTAGGGGAACAAAACAAAAGCCACAGAAGCAGGAATAAGCTCAGCAGTTCGTAAGGTAGTGCAGAGACTTGATAATGAGGACCAAGGCTACCTGGTGGGAACTGAATGCAGTGGGAGGTTAAATTGGGGTGGGCTGGAAAAGCTGCACAGAGGAGTTTGGTTCAGGTGCTGGTAGTGAAAGGCCATTTGAGGTTTTTGAGCATTGAAGCTTTGTAGCATTTAGGGAAACTCTTTTGTCAAGAATACGTAGGAAGCGGGGGAGAACTTGGAGTCCCATAAGAAAGCCAACTAGCAGGATACACTAGCCTTGGCCTAGTAAGTGGGGGCAGAGGTGGGATTGGAGAAGAAGGGATGGATACCATAGACATTTCAAAGAAGAAAGAAGTGAACTTGAAATGAACAGCTAGCTGGGTGTTGAAGGGCAGAGGTGAAGTCACTGAGGTTTTGAGCCTGGGTGTCTGGAAGGGAGGTGGAGTTTTACCAGCAGAGACAGAAACCCTGGGAACACAGGTAGTTAGAGAGAGAGAGGGGAAGGGTTTTAAGTGAGTGACCAGTGAGTTCTTGAGACCTGGTGGAGAGCCTGGTGTGAGAGAGCCAAAACCAGTCCAGGAGGAAAGGCATCCATAGCCAGGTGCCAGGGCAACTCAGCTGAGGAGGCTGGGAAACTTGGTGCACACTGGTGAGAGATCAGAAGCTGAGAATATCACCAGATATAGGACTCCAGGTGGGATTTGACAGAGTCTGTCAGCCAAGTTCTCAACAGCAGATTCTTTATGGATATTATAGGCTTTTGTTAATTTAGAGCTATTTAGCCTTTTTATTTTATCTCCAGACTCTACTAGGTATGGATATAAAGAGCTCTCTCCTTTTGGAACTGTTAATGGGATTAAAAGAAAGGGAAAACTTAAAAGTCTGTGGTATCAGCTTATTTTGTTTGTGTATCTGAGAGGCCATTTTTTTTACATAAAGAAACATAAATATTGTGTGTGAGGATTAAGCCTTTTCCTTCTCTGTGTCTCTGTGTCTCTTGACACTAGGAAAGGATACACTCCCAGGAAGAGAGAAGTAATGGAGATAGATTCCATGAAGAATGTAGGACTTGTTGGGCCTTAAGGAATGAGCAGTGCCATTGGAATAGTAGCTTGAGAAAGTGGTCCAGTTAGGGGAACAAAACAAAAGCCACAGAAGCAGGAATAAGCTCAGCAGTTCGTAAGGTAGTGCAGAGACTTGATAATGAGGACCAAGGCTACCTGGTGGGAACTGAACGCAGTGGGAGGTTGAATTGGGGTGGGCTGGAAAAGCTGCACAGAGGAGTTTGGTTCAGGTGCTGGTAGTGAAAGGCCATTTGAGGTTTTTGAGCATTGAAGCTTTGTAGCATTTAGGGAAACTCTTTTGTCAAGAATACGTAGGAAGCGGGGGAGAACTTGGAGTCCCATAAGAAAGCCAACTAGCAGGATACACTAGCCTTGGCCTAGTAAGTGGGGGCAGAGGTGGGATTGGAGAAGAAGGGATGGATACCATAGACATTTCAAAGAAGAAAGAAGTGAACTTGAAATGAACAGCTAGCTGGGTGTTGAAGGGCAGAGGTGAAGTCACTGAGGTTTTGAGCCTGGGTGTCTGGAAGGGAGGTGGAGTTTTACCAGCAGAGACAGAAACCCTGGGAACACAGGTAGTTAGAGAGAGAGAGGGGAAGGGTTTTAAGTGAGTGACCAGTGAGTTCTTGAGACCTGGTGGAGAGCCTGGTGTGAGAGAGCCAAAACCAGTCCAGGAGGAAAGGCATCCACAGCCAGGTGCCAGGGCAACTCAGCTGAGGAGGCTGGGAAACTTGGTGCACACTGGTGAGAGATCAGAAGCTGAGAATATCACCAGATATAGGACTCCAGGTGGGATTTGACAGAGTCGGTCAGCCAAGTTCTCAACAGCAGATTCTTTATGGATATTATAGGCTTTTGTTAATTTAGAGCTATTTAGCCTTTTTATTTTATCTCCAGACTCTACTAGGTATGGATATAAAGAGCTCTCTCCTTTTGGAACTGTTAATGGGATTAAAAGAAAGGGAAAACTTAAAAGTCTGTGGTATCAGCTTATTTTGTTTGTGTATCTGAGAGGCCATTTTTTTTACATAAAGAAACATAAATATTGTGTGTGAGGATTAAGCCTTTTCCTTCTCTGTGTCTCTGTGTCTCTTGACACTAGGAAAGGATACACTCCCAGGAAGTCAGGATTAAGGGGAAATGACTTTGAGATGCACTTTCTTAAAATAACTGACAGAATGACCTCATAAGCCAGCTGATAGCCTGGTTTGCAAATGGATACATTTCTATCAGCCTGCTGCTTGATGCTGCAGAGCCAAATATATGCAGAGTGTATTAGCTCATGTCCTGTAGGCGGGAGACTGTCTGGGAAAAGGTGAACTTAGAGAAAGGTGAAATGGTGGGCTCAGCACAAGAATTAACTATTAAATACTGTCAGCCAGAGCTTTATTAGGTAGACATTAGTGATTTGGGTTCATTTTTCCCTATGATGATTTGTATCATCTTCTAGTAAAAGAATATTTAAATAAAGCACCTGATATTTAAATAGGCTCTACAATATAAAAGTGTTGCTATACCATTTTTCTCAGTACTTAAGTATTCCCGTTTCTCTTTTTCTCTTTTACAACTATAGGCCCATGCCCTTGGGTCTGCCTCTTGCTAAAATTGCCCTCTCCTTTCGGTCTTCAGCTGTACAGGCAATGCGGGGGTGCCCTTGCTTGGGCGGTGCTGCTGATCTCTGGCGTGTTACAGAGGTTAAAGGGAAACCAGCAGGGCTGGGGAGGAAGATTAGAACTTGATAAACTGCTTCTCTTGTCAGAAATCATTGTCAGCAATGAAGAATATTCACAAAGTAGGCTCTTCTTCTTCCCCAACATACATACACAGTGTGGTCCCTGTACCAGGAAAGAAAGAATGGCAGTTGCCTCTGTGGTTTAACACCTGTTTGGTCTGGATTCGATTTATAAGATAAATCTGAATGAAGTCTATAATGTGCTTAAGATCCAAACACGTGCTTCACTGTCAGACTCACAGACACTGATCTAGCTTACTAGAAACTTTTGAGAAGAGTTTTAGGGTTATTTTCCCTTTCTATTAAGTAAAGCCTATTTTCATATATTTTGTAACCAACCACTTTATTGCATTCTCTTATTGTTTATAGTGGTTTTTCATCTGATTCTTTCCAGTCTTCCAGATACAGATTATATCATGTACAAATAGTGATTATTTTATCTGCTCCTCATCTCTTATTTCTCTTTATCTAATTGCCCTGGTCCTCTCTCCAGAACAATATTAAAAACACATTGGCATTGTTGGACACCTTAAATGTATGGAAGCTGTAGAAGGGAAGTAAGCTATAGCATCAGTAGTATCTTAGGAGGCAGAAATCAAACTTGGGGGCAGATATTCTTGATCTTACAGGAACAAGTCTATGAAATAAGCTTAAGGTACATTGTACCAATATATATAATTTTCAGTCACCCATGGAGCTATAGCAACCTATGGAAAATTGGTTTCTCATCAGTCACATTTTGAAACTCCCTGGGACCCTCCAGGAAAGCTCTCTGTTTTATAATCTCAGAATTTTGTGGGAAATACAGACACATCCCAGGTATCTTTCATGACTACTGATGACCACTCTTGTCTTCCAGGCCCAGCTTCGGGCATTTATTCCAGAGATGCTCAAGTACTCCACTGGTCGGGGAAAACCAGGCTGGGGCAAAGAAAGCTGCAAGCCCATCTGGTGGCCTGAAGATATTCCGTGGGCAAATGTCCGGAGCGATGTCCGCACGGAGGAGCAAAAGCAGAGGGTGAGGGTTCCTCTGCCCTGAGCTGCCTGTTGCTTTTCCATTCTGAATCAACCACCTCAGTTTTTAATCACTCCACTTCTTATGCTAAAATGTCTATACACATTTGTGTAATAGTCAGTTCTGTCCCCAAAAAGAAGTTTGATCTTCCCTGAGTTATAGCCTTTCTTGTCATCACTCCATCACTGTTAGGACTCAGGATGGATCCACAAGTTTACACTTCTCTGCATAATTGCCTTTTGGAGCAGTTTTAATTTTATGAGGTGCTTAAGAAAAAATGAAGGAACTTGAAGTGAAAGTTGAATCACTTTGAAGATTTAGAAATGTCCTTATTAATGGTTAGCAAAAATCATAGTTGAAAAATACAAACATGAATTAGAGAGATGGGAAGTTTGGCAGAGTCTGCTGATAAAGAAACTTCATTTAAAAAAGGACTAAGCTAGATGTCATCCCTTACTTTTTCTGCATATTTGTTTTTCAGTTAGCTTGGAAGTTTGCTGAGAATCTTAATATGAAACTCTTGACAAAACCTTTTGTGAAAAGTTCAAGAATTAGCCTTAGGTCAGAACAGGGTATAAAACCTGAAAGCTAAACCAGACTTTGATCAGGAGAGAAACAAGTGAGAAACCTTCTTTGGTACTTGGTACTAAGTTTCTTTGTGCCAGAATCAGTCTGTGGGAAATAATCCTAAGAGTTTACTCTATTTGAGGTTTGGTTTGGTTTGATAAATAAGCAGCTGTTCCCGTAGTGGGACTGAATAACCAACATTCTTTGTGACTTAATTCTTTTCTGGTCTTTTGGTGACAGGTTTCATGGACCCAGGCACTACGGACCATAGTTAAAAACTGTTACAAGCAGCATGGGCGGGAGGACCTCTTGTATGCTTTTGAAGATCAGCAAACGCAAACACAGGCCACAACCACGCACAGTATAGCCCATCTTGTACCATCCCAGACCGTAGTCCAGACCTTTAGTAACCCTGATGGCACTGTCTCGCTGATCCAGGTGAGTGAACCTTATTGGCACCAGATGGTGGTTTCTGAGGTGGATCAGTGGGCACCTCACCTTAACTGGAGAAGGTTTTCTTCATGCAAACTCCTGTGAATTTCATATAGCTCCCCAAGATCTTCCTACTTGAAATTGAGTTTTGAATAATATTTTAAGTTGTTTGCATTTTGCTAAATACAGAGCTATAGATAGCTTTCTGAACATTTCTGAAACAAAGCACTGTAAAAATAGCTATTTTGTTGTTGTTGTTCTTGTTGTTTTTTACAATTTTACTCTGTCAGTGGCCAGAGAATCTTCCTTCTGAATGACCTTTTCTGAGGTAAAACACAATTTGTTCGTGGTTAGGGAACCTCTAAAATTCAGATAGGGGGAGAATAGAAAGTTAGTTGACACTGGGCACTGATGGTAAAACATGATGGCTTCCAATATTTACTTGGTTGAAGTAAAAAATTCATGTTCAGGTGTGAGACAGATGATTTTAATAACTGATTTCACATTATAAGGCATATTAATCATTATCTGCACTGAGTTTGGGATTAAATTAATCTTAACTTCTGAGGAAAGGAGAGGTACAAGGCTCCAGCCACTGACACTTACCACGTAACATATTTTTCTTTAGGTCGGTACAGGAGCAACAGTAGCCACATTGGCTGATGCTTCCGAATTGCCAACTACAGTCACTGTTGCCCAAGTGAATTATTCTGCCGTGGCTGATGGAGAGGTAAGGAGGATTGTGTGCATCTACTTAAGTACTTGACTATATAAGCGAGGGAGAAGTGAGGGTCCAGAAGATGAAACTGTAAGTAATCTACACATCTGTAGCATTATTTTTGAAACCTTTTAAAAAAATCAGACCATGACAGTTTTGCAAAGTACCTCATGTTGTGTATATTAATTGTAACAATTGTAATTCATATTATTTTTATGATTCAGACTTAACTGTCAAGAATTTACAATTTTACATTGGTTTTATGGCATTTTATATAACACACAATAAAAATGGATTATCCATTTAATACTTTTATGCTGTGAATCCCAAAGAATTTAATCTTGGAGTTTTGTGAAAAAAAATTAGATCACTAACTAGAGCTAAAGCATTCGTGGAAGAAATAAATATATTTGTGAATCAGTAGACATGATTTACTACATTGCAAATATGTCTTGGAAAAACTTCACAAGAAAATCTTACCCTACAAAAATCGACTTATGGAATGTTGACCTAAAAGTAGTAACCTTTATTGAGCACTTTGTAAACAAAGCACTCAAACCTATTAAACATAGGTTGTGTTATCATCTTCACTTTATAGATAAGGAAAATGAAACACAGATGTTAGGTGACTTGCCTAAAGTCATAGAGTCAGTGTGGTAACAGGCTAATAATGCATTTAGCAAAATGTCATCTGGACTCTGAGCCATCAGTGAAGTTCAGGAAAGGGTTCATTAAGTCACTGTATAGGCTTTTCCCCTACAGGTGCCAGTGTGGTGTGAAAAGTAGCCAACAAATGTTTAAGGGCACATCAGAAATAAAGCTTTGCTGTCTCACCTTTGTTCAAAACCATGGAGCATTCCCCTGAGAGCACCGCAAAGTCGCTTTCATTTGCGCATTTCTGGAAAGAGAGAACGGACAATGTTGTAGTGGCTAGTGAGCTAAAGAGAAACGCAGCCAGGCTGCTCAGTCAGCCAGCATGTCTCAAGACCCTGCCCTGCTGCAATGATGTGTTAGACAGGTGGAGTTGATTTACACAGGAGACTGCTCTCAAGGAGCTTCTGTCTAGTGGGGAAGAGAAATGTCTACATAAATGAACTGTGGTCTGTGCTGGAAGAGGGGCTGCAAAGTGGTCTATGCCTTTAGGAGAGAATATTCCAGCTGGGAGTCAGGAAGGTTCGCGGGAGAAGCTAGCATTTGGTTTTTTAGGATAGCAAGGTAAAAATCAACAGGACATTAACTTTTACAAGTGCAGAAACGTCATGAAAAAGTGTATATTAGCTGAGGGAAAAATTCGTCAGTCCCCAAACACTAAAATCAGAGGACACTTCTTGAAGTGTGAAAGAGGCAGATGAGACAGAGGTGGGTACATTTGCAAGATTTGTTACTTTTTGATTTAGAAAAAGTTATCAACCATATCTCTCTACTGAATGTATCCTGGTACTATTTAAACAAAGCAGCTTTGTGTTTCTTGAACACTTATCTAGAGACTAATTCTTGAAACCCATTTTACTAAATAACTTTATATATACATAGGTAATCAGTGTATTCAAAAGTTCATGGAAAATATGAAGGATAAAAAAAATCCCAGTTATATATCTGTGGCTTTTTCAGCACACAAACATGATTTTGAAGTCAGTTATTATGGGAATTGTGAATGACTTATGTAAATAGCTTGTTGAGAAATACCCAAATTCAGTCAGGTAAAAAAAAAATGTAACACTTCCAGTGAAACAAAAATGATAATGAAGAGAAGGATGGGTTATCCCAGAAGGTGAAAAAATGTTTTAGATTTTATAGTATGATTGTTTGCCTTCTGATTTTTCTAGGATGTTGGTGTGGTTTCTAGCATCTTGCTTTTGAGTCATGAGAACTATAATTAGTCAAAATATCTCACTGACTTGGGGCCACATAAGACCACATCAAGTCAATGAAACATTATATCAGGTTACTCACTAAAAACATCTTTCTGCCTTGTGTTTAGCATCTTTTCTCCCAAGGAACAGAAAGTACTTTACAAAAATAAGCAATACCTTTATTTTTAGAAGTTAGAAAGTCATTTTGTTATCCTAACCTTGCTTCTAAGGGCTGTTATCATTTAGACCAGGCTGCCTTCAACACCCAGTTAGTTATATTTGGTTACGTTTATGAGAAGAGCCACTGGGGACCAGTCTCTTCTGGTGATACATGGTCTTCTAAATCTGCTAGAAAACCTAGTCTCTGTGTGCTGAACCTACCCAATAACCTTTAAGTATTTACAAAGAAACAGAAATTCTGTAACCTTAGGCAGCTTAAAACGAATTAGGGAAACAGAACAAATTACATAAACATTTAGAAATGAGTAAAGAAAAAATTTCAAAACAGTGTGAAATAAACTATATATATTGATTTCAAAATATTTATACAACCTCAGTTTTTTAATGGCATATTACAAACACAAATGGATTTGGGAAATTCTGTTGTGTGATAAGACCACCAATTGTACTGGTGATATTAATTGGCATTATGTGTCAGAAGTCAAAATTTGAAATAGAATGATGTCTGATAATAATGGTATATATGATTCTGTGAGAAGACGAAGAAAAAAGTACAAAGACATTAGAATGAATTTTAAAATGAACCATTAGCACATGGTACAGGTTTAAAGTAGCACTATTATATTTAGATGGGTTTTTTATGAATATCAGTTTACCTGAGGTATAGGTAGGCAGAAGAATAAGTAGGAAAATATGAATAAAAGAGGGTTTTCTTCATCCATCCATTCAGTAAATATTTTCTGAGCCCTGTATCAGGTACTATAGAGACTGTACATACAGGAAAATAAAGACTGTTCTTGGTCTTAAGGATTATACAGGTACCTTGGTCTACAGTGGCAATGAGATAAGGATCTAGTAGGAGCAAACCCAAGACGCCGTGGGACACAGGGAGAGGTCCTGACCTTGAGCTGCAGGGGAATGGAGTTGTCTCAGCCCCTTCAGTGTCACCTGAGCTCAGACTTGGAGGGGGAGCAGGGGGCAAAGGCTGGAAGGATGAGTGTCATATTCCTGCCAAAGGGAGCAGCACACAGCACGTCACACTGTGGAAGAGCTACAGGGAGGCCCCTTAGCTAGAGGGAGAAGAGGAGCCCCAGTTTGAAGGGCCTCACTGCAGTGGGGCTCTCTCAGAAAAAGCAAAGAAGCTGACTATACATACTCTGAATATCTTTCCCTTCTAGGGCTTGTGGCCCTTTTTCTGGACATGGTGACATCCAGCATAGATAGCCACACATTGACTCCCAGCTGGTGGAAAGGGAGAGTATCCAGAGCTCAAGCAAAGACAACTAAAGCACTGAGACATAAGTACAGTAAATTCCAAAGAAATATTAATACCCAAGCTGATTTATTTACCACTTGCCATTATTGTGAATAGAAAATTTTTATCTACTACTGCTTCCTATTCCTCTCCACCCTTTACCACCATCCATTAATCTTTCATGCCCTATAATTTAACTTTCCTAAAATATTCTGCATATGGCAATATTCTAATACTATTTTCACTACAAATATTGTAACTAAATGTGTATATATTGAATTGCTGCCACTGGAGTATGAGTACTTGGGAGAGCTGCACTAGGCCAAGCTCTAGTGGGATGGGCAGAAATATAGAGGGGTAGATCTGGAAGGAGGAAGACGTTTAATGGCAAAAGGTAACAGGATTGACCTGTTTCAGCTGATGTTCTGAGTGAAATCATCACCTGTCTACAAATTGATAGTATAACTTGCCATCTGAAGTTGCATTGTTTGCAGTGATCCTCAGTGTAGTAATGAAATCAAGGAGGGTAATACCTTGGGGAAGCAAGAATTTTGTGAGTTTTCCTGAGTGCGCAACTTTGCAGCTCTAAGGGAAGAAAATGGGGTGTGTCTTCCTCAAGGCCCTGAAGGCTTCCTGGTTGGTGAAGGGCCCTGAAGGTTTTTGCTGGCATGGTCCACCACCTGTGAGAACTCAGGGCAAATAAGAAAGGAGGAATGTCTCATTCTCTGGGAGGCTTTTGACAAACACTGAGAAGCACTACCAGAATCCAAGTATAGAACCAAAGGAGACATTTTAAGTATCTACCTCTGTTAGAGTTTGTGGCTCTTTCTCTGGGACACAGTAACATGCAGGCACCAGTTAACCACTCACTGGGTCCCAGCATTGTATGAAGCGGGCACAGTAAGAGTTCCAGTCAGCACAGCTAACGGCCTGAGACCTGAGTCCAGTGAAATACTACACCACACTTTGACCTGAGCTTATCGCTGTATCACCGACTGTATTTTGGAATAAAGTTGCTTTCACTGCCCCTGCTACTTTTTGTTTTTGAGGGAGAATAAATCAACCAGTATTTATTGAGCAAAATGGACTGAATTTGGTGGATACAGGTATCCAGAATTGAGAAATCTCCGAATGCAAAGCATAGTACCGAAATCAGTGGTTCTCAACTAGGGCCACCCCCACACCCTTCAGAGAAGATATTTGGCCATGTCTGGAGATATTTTTGATTGTCACAACTGGGGAGGGTACTATTAGCATCTGGTGGGTGGAGGCCAGGAGTGTGCTGGACACTTGACAGTGCACAGGGCAGCCCCCACAACAAAGGATTGTCTGGTCCAAGATGATAATGGTGCCAAGGTTGAGAAAGCTTGTGCTTGATCTAGCAAAGCTGAATTCTAATTGACTATAGGACCAGATAGTATATCTTTTTTGTTGTATTCTTTTGTTTTGTTTCTTCATAATTTCTCCCCTCTAAAAGGAAAGCAGTTTTTGCAACATTAAAAAGAGTTATTTACTGAATTTGGCAGTTTCCAGCAAAGGTTAAAATACAAAATAACTTTGTTATATAATTCCACCTCTAGGACTTTATAAATAGACTCACATAAAAAATACAAAGTAGTATATAGGGATATTCATTACAGTATTGTTTGTAATAGTAAAAGACTAGAAATGACCTAAATGCCCATTAAAAGATGGCTGGTTAAATAAATTATAGTGTATCTATATAATATGATGCTGTGCAGCCATTATTATGAATCATGAATGAATGAAGCAGTTTTATACATTCCAAAATAGACTCATTTCAGAGATGTATTGTTTGTGGAAAAAATAAGGCACAAAAAGATATGTAGACTGTGCTACCACTTCCATTTTTTAAAAAGAGGGAGAAATAAATAAATAAATAGGGTAAGTAGAAAGGGAAAAAGCAGGTTTGTGTGAGAGGGAACATGCTTACATGTAAGAGAGAATATCCCTGCAAAGATACACAAGCAATAGGTAACAGTAGTGGTCTTTGGGCAGAATGTCCAGAATACAGTGCTGCATTATATTCCCTGTGGTACAGTTTGAATTTTTTTAGAACTACACTTACAGTCTACTCAAAAATTAAAATTTTTAATTACAAAAATTGTCATTTTTTAATAGGTAATATATTGATAAGGCTCATATATTTCAGAAATCATTTAAAACTATTCAGTGGAAAATCCTGTTTTGTGTCTCCTTTCCAACCTATTCCCACAACCCTCCCTCCCTCCCTACACATGCACATTCACACATGCACTGAGGAAAATATTTTCCATGGTTTCTTTTGTGTCCTTCCAGAATTTCTTTATGCAAATATTAATAAATTCAAATGTATATTCTAATACCCCCTTTTTTTTACACAAAATAAAGCATACTAAAAACCCTGTTCTATACTATTGTAGGTCATGTTAATTTAAAAGTGTGTATGTATTTGGCTGAGCCCACAGCAGTTTATCACAAAAATGACTTAAAAATCATAATCCGTTTGTGACTTTCTTTATTATTGTGTCCTTTCTGCCTTAGGTGGAACAAAACTGGGCCACGTTACAGGGCGGTGAGATGACCATCCAGACGACACAAGCATCAGAGGCCACCCAGGCAGTGGCATCATTGGCAGAGGCCGCGGTGGCAGCTTCTCAGGAGATGCAACAGGGAGCTACAGTCACCATGGCACTCAACAGGTGGAGGAAGGGTGGGAGAATAAAGAAGGCTGGCCAGTCTGTCTATCTTTGTAGGCTGTGAAGAGAAATGCGGTCCCTCAGTTTGTCACAGCTGGCAGTTGGAGCTTAATGCTCTTAGCCCATAGGGTATTATAAGTTGGCTTATAGTCAGGGCTCACTCACCCCATTGCCAACACCCCACCCCCACCCCCAGCAACCAATCCAGCTCAAGCCTGCTGGTCAAGGGGCATGGGTCCCTTTGGCTTTATACTATTCTGTGCCCATTAACAGACCAAAAGCCACACAATTTGAGTACTTTGTATTCTTAAAGGAGCTAAAGAATATAATAACAAATCAAGAAGTTCCAGGATTCATTTTCATCTCACCCTACAGAAGATACTGCTTTTTGTTAGGATATTAATCCATGTTTTAGCTGGTCAAGAGTTGATTTTACTGACTTTTCAGGAAATTTGTTTCCCTTGCTTATCAATGACTTCAAAATAAAGTAAGTTATGGGTTATTGAGAAAAATAATTGAAATTTTTTTCTTGGGATATGTTTAGGAAGGGTGCTGCAGAATGAGGTGCTCCTGTAAGAGGTAGTTTCCAAAAGTGAATGGTAGTTTCCTGCTTGTTTCCTTCTTTTAGGTGTTGACAGAAAAGGTCATGCCCATACCATTATTCTTCTTCATTGCTGACACAACTTTATTTTCAATGGACCCAGGCATTTTAACTAATAGTTAAGAGTGTGGGCCTTGAAGGCAGACCACCTGGGTTTGAATTTCAGCCCTGTCACTTACTAGCTGTTTGATGTTGGGTAATTGACTTAGACTGGTAATTGACTTAGACTCGTTGCCCAGGCTCTGCTCTTCTGCAAAATGGGAGTAATAACAGTACCTACCTTAAAGGGGTATGTGAGAACTGAAAAAGTCAATCATATGAGATCCACAGGCTAGTACTTGGTATGTGGTAAGGCTGCTGTTAGTATGCACAGCAGCTGTTAGTCTCAAATAGTCACTGAACTCTTATGATGGGCCAACACTCTACTCGGTAAAGTACTTTAATAACAGTGCTCTAAAATATAATGCCTGCCTTCAAAGAGCCATACTACTATTAGGGAGATTGATTTAAGTAAAACACTTAGTGAACTAGTATTACTCAGTGTAATTCAGTGTTGAATTGTGCAGTAGATTATGAACATTCAAGGGCAGGGGGTGGGGGTCACCTTCTCCGAAACGTAACAGTGGGCTCCAGGTTAGACTGGTTGTTACAGATCGTAGGAAGCCTCAATAGGTTTACTTACGATTTCCATAAGGCTGTATAGCGTATTTGCTGAGAAAAGGGTTCCAAGGTCACACAGATTCAGGTTTGAATCCTAGTGTGCCACTTATTAGCCAGTTGATGTTGAGAAATGTAACCCTGAACTTTGGTCTCCTCATTATAACTTTCATTACATAGTATCTTTAGATTTCGATGAGATGATGTATCTAAAACTCTCATCAATATGTCCAGCCCATAGTTAGCACATCAGAAATTATAGTTACTATCACTTAAATTTTATTTTAAGATTTATCTATTCAGAATTGCTTATAGTCAGAAGAGATTAGAAATAGAAGGCCAGTTTGGAAGAGGCAGTCCAGGTATGACTTGTTAAAGGCTTGGAATCAGAATGAAGATAAAGTGACTGAGTTTAAAGGAAGTATGGTCAGGACTTAGTGGTTAATTAGATAATAGAAAACTAAAGTGCACACATGCACACAGGCGCACACACACACTTGTCCTCCCTGAGTGACCTGGGACTGAAATGTTTTCTTAGCCCATTGAACCATGTTGCTTTTCAGTAACATGAAATTTTTATTTGATTCCTTATACTTAGACCCCATCCCACTCCTTCCTTTGAGAGAGGACACACAGATAAACTTCCTGAAAGCCACAGCCAGAGTTCCCTCCCTCTGGTCCAATAACCCCTCACTGTAGCATAGGGCCTAACAGGGAAACGTTAAAAACCAGCAAAACTTGATTTCACTGAGCCAGCACCTTGGATGTTCCAGTGAAGTGTGAGTGTCCTGGGAGCCCTGCACATAGTGGAAAATGTGAGGCACATTCTGGCTCCCTTTGGTGTGAGGACCAGGGCTTATTTCTAAAGGCAAGGAGGGTAATGGTTTCCCTGGGGGGCTTATTAACAGACTCATGCAGCTGAGGTGGCTACAGTGTTTACTCCAAAGGAAGGAGAATGTGGTTCGCTGTGGCATGTAGGAGGAGTAAGATGTTGAAACCTGTTTGCAATCATCTGAACGCCCCAATGAGTGTTGGGGGATGGTGTGTTACAGTCTATGCTGGAGTGAAGAAACCAAGCCTGCCATGAAGACTAGACTAGCAGGCTATCAGGGAAACGTCAGGGGCCTCTTATTACTGTCTAATGTCCAGAGGATTAGACTTAAGACACAAGCCCTTGGTGGTGTTTCTCTGTGGGATGAGATAGACAGCACTCCCAGCCTCTGCACAAAAATGTGTTGCTAGAAGTCATCTTCATGAAAAATACACTGAGGCATCTGGTCTTCGTTCCTATGGTTAACAAAGTGATTTCATAAAGCCATTCCCTTCAAGCCTGTCTCTGTTTCAGGTGCAGATAGAACAAGCATGGTTTTCTAATATCACCCACACCTCTGCTGCACTGCAAATAACAGTGTGGGTGAGGGTGAGAAGGAATAGGCAAACTGCATTGAATGGCAAGTGGGGAATGAGAAGGCAGAGGGGCTCCTTGGTCTGTTGGAGGGGAAAATGGGATCAGGAGAGATGCAGGACACACCTGTTTTCAACCATGCTGTTGAGTTTTGTATAGCAAGTCAGAACAAGGGCCCTGGGCTCAAACAACCTTTATTCAGCCCAACCTCCATTATAATAACCCAAAAACCCAAAGGGGGTATGAAGAAATTGTCCTTTAAAAATCTGGAAACTAGTTATTTTAATTATTTTCAAAGTACCTAATAAAGCAATACTTTTAGGAGAGAGAATCAAAGTGAACAAATGAAAAGCAGAGCATCACAGCTATAAAAAAAAAAAAAAAGAGCTGTTAACCCTGAACAACCAGGGAGGAGAGGAAATGAAATTATCATTTGCTTGTTGTCATAGAATGGTTAATTTGACATTACAGTTTGTTGGTTAAGCTGTCCTAGACTAAAGTTGCCTCTCAAACAGTCTTTCTGCTAAGTCAGTACAGTCCTTACATATACAGATACATGATAAATATTCGTAAACTGAATCTCCATTTGCCTAGTAGAAATTTAGTGTTGTTAACTTGGAGACAGTTTTTACTGTTGGGGCTGCTATGTATAGTGTTGTGACGTAATGCAGTGGGGAAACAGATGCTCAAGTTGATCCCTCTTCTCAAGGAATTCAGAGTTACTGTTCTTTTGCTATAAAGAGACTTTGCTTTAAAAAAGAGCCGAATCATATTTTTAAAGAAAATTTACTGTTTTTTTTTGTTTTGTTTTATTATCATTAATCTACGATTACATGAAGAACATTATGTTCACTAGGCTGTCCCCTTCACCAAGTCCCCCCCACAAACCCCATTACAGTCACTGTCCATCAGCATAGTAAAATGTTGTAGAATCACTACTTGTCTTCTTTGTGTTGCACAGCCCTCCCCTTTCCCCTACCTAATCATAATGCCCCCTTTCTTCTTCCCCACCCTTATCCCTCCCTACCCTCCCATTCTCCCCAGTCTCTTTCCTTTTGGTAACTGTTATTCCTTTCTTGGTTTCTGTGATTCTGCTGCTGTTTTGTTCCTTCAGTTTTTCTTTGTTCTTATACTCCACATATGAGTGAAATCATTTGGTACTTGTCTTTCTCTGCCTGGTTTATTTCACAGAGCATAATATCCTCCAGCTCCATCCATGTTGTTGCAAATGGTAGGATTTGTTTTCTTCTTATGGCTGAATAATATTCCATTGTGTATATGTACCACATCTTCCTTATCCCTTCATCTACTGATGGACACTTAAGTTGCTTCCATTTCTTGGCTATTGTAAATAGTGCTGTGATAAACATAGGGGTGCATCTGCTCCTTTTCAAACTGGGCTGCTGCATTCTTAGGGTAAATTCCTAGAAGTGGAATTCTTGGGTCAAATGGTAAAATTTACTGTTTTTAATTGAAAATACTATTGAATTAAACTTAGAGATATTATTAAAATAAAGTATGGCTTTAATATATGGACTGGTATTTATTTGTCTAGTAAAATGAGATGGACAACCTAGATCAGAAATCCTCTCTGGAAATGGAGGGCAGGGTCTATGCAGCTTCTGCTTTTGCCGGGGGATAAAGACTGAACGCCTTCAGAGCAGAAGATGATGGAAACTCCTCATTTGTAATCTGGCTTGGAAATGACCTTGGTAAAACAATTGTGAAGTGGTAGTTTGGAGACATTTTAATCCCTATTCACCTTCTAAGTAAAGGTAATCTTTTTCTAGCAGTATAGTTTGATCATTTCCCACAAAGTCTAGTGCAAGTAGTTAGAATAGATTTGGAAACGACAGGCCTGTTGACCACAGGAGTCACCACTTGTTTATGCCCCTGTAAAAGATCTGCCCATTGCTGCTTTGCCTCTGGCCCCTGATGGGATGAAATGACTAACCTCCCTGAGCTGTCACCTGTCACCCCCATAGGATCCCCATCCCTGGCAGCCCAGATTGCTTTAGTTTGTTGCTGGTTTTCAGCTTTTCTTCTACCATAACATTGTTTAGAAAGGTATTAAAGAAAATGACTTCAAATATTTAGAGCTTCAGACATAATAAAATGGGTATGATTGGGTCGGTACACTTGCATGTCAGGGCTTGGGTAACTGCCCCCCCTTGGCCACCTGTGAAATTCCACACTGTAAGCATGTGTCCAAGGTGTATGCACAGGAGTGGCAGGACATCACCTTGTTGGACATAGAAATAACCATCATTGTACACTGATAAAAACAGCAGGGAATGTGCCATCACTGAGGTAACCTATAAGCAAAGATCCTATTTCCCAATAAACAATGCTCATATACAGCTTCCTTCTTCAAAATATCACACAGCTGCAGAGAATACACATTTTTTCCATGAATATACTTTTTCAAAAGTTTTTCTTTTTTTCCTCAAAGAATATACTTGTCAGTTTTCAATGAAGTCTCAGGTCAGAGTGTTAAATATTTTTATCATTAATCAGTGATAGCTGGATATTGTAAAATTGGTTGGTGGTAGTATTAACACAAAATTCTTAGAGAAATATTAAAAATAAAGGATCTAGCCAATAATCACTTTACTATCTCTAATAAATGCTTATGAAGCATTTTTAATTAAAATAAACCATATAAAAGTAAAGAATAGCCTCCATAATAATTCCAGATCAAGGATCCCCTTTGGCTCTAAATTTATGTAACAGATACTATGGAATGACTGGCTGTGGGTATCAGATCACCAAGAAGTATGTTTCAGCACAGCAAATGATCTTAACTTTTACACAGGCTGCATGTAAACTCTATGATTGTTCAGCTTTTTGCTCAACATCAATTACACCCCAAAATTTTTTATGAAGTAAATTAAGTTTGAAATAGATATTCATGAACTTGAACTAAGTCAAGGCAAGCCTGGAAATTAAAAGGTACCACAGCAAAACTAAAGGGGAAATCAGTAATTTTGCATTTAATTTATTATTTTGAGTAAATGTCAAGGAATATTACAGGGAATGATATGTCAGGTGAAAAAAGCAGGCATTAAGACTGTGCAGTAGGATTCTGTTTATCTGTTTAAAGTTAATTGTGTTTGAGATTAGGAAGAAATAACTTCTCTCCATATGATATTTTTAAATTTTCTTTTATACTTAATGAAATTTATACAAGTTTTTCACATATATTTTGTGAAACAAAATAACATTTTAAACACACAGACATAAAAATTAAAAAGGCAAGTTTGTAAGAAGGAGGAAATTTTTTATTTAGTGAGAATTTTCTGTCCATTTGGGTTTTTTTTCTGCTTCCTAGAATCCTTGTACTGACCAAGAAGTCTTCCCCAGGGAATGAGAATGTCAGTTGCTTTACTTGTCTGCTGACTTTCTTAGATGAAAGTGACACCATTGAGTTAGGTACATGTTGCTTTTTGCCTACAGTCATGCCGTGTTTACCCTAACCAGTCCACGGCCCCTTGCCATCCCCACCTACAGCTTGTGGTTATGAGATACCTGCCATAGTTATGGTGAAACTAAGGAAGAAAACTATGGTAAGAGCAGAGCTGAAATCAGCTGGCTTATTCCATGTCAAACCCAGGATTTTGTCTACCTCTTCTAAACTAAACAACACTGCCTTCTCTATTCTATGCCCATTTTTTATACTCCTTAAGTAACTGCAAAGTGGTACCTGATACTTTCCTAAGAAAGGCGCTGAATTTATCTTTTTTTTTCTCTCACATTTTAACATCTCTGAAATTTGGAAGGTAAATTATTATCTTATAAATACAATTATCAGGACTTTGTCTTCTCTTTTTCAAGGAATCAATAAAAATGGGTATTTGCACATAAAAATATGTAACAAGAAAAAGAAAGAAAAATGGGACATAAACTGCTAGAATAGTGCTCACTCTAAACAAATGGTTAATATCTTCCTCTTCTACAGAGTGTTTGATTTGCAATGAAGGGAGATTTATCATTTTGATGTGCTTCTGGAGGCAAGAAGTTTGAGCTTATAGTGATAATTTTGAATTTTAAGTCTTAATTGAGCAGTGCCCACATGGTACAGTGGGGCAAAGGGAAGAGCTAGACTTTGCAGAATATTAGCCAACCATTACTTTGTATTTGAAATTGTGGATATAAACCAAAATGTGATTATTTAATATTAATTGGATAGCAAGTCCAGGTTGCTGACTCCTCTTATTATCATTCGTCCTTGGCTATAAAAGGGCTGTTTCAGATGGTCTGCCTTGTGTTACCGTAAAGAGAAAAAGAAAACCTTGTGATTGACAAACAAATGGCTTTTGCATTGTGAATATGGATCCGAGCTTTCACTATGGTTTATAATCACTCAACTGACATAGACAAAGAAGAGACCAAAAATGAGTGCCTTCTAGCCTCAAACACCCATTTCCTAGGTTTTAAGAAAATCTCACATCAGCTGTGTAAATATGTAGGACTTCAGATTTCTCTATTTATTATTATCACTCAAAAATTACTCTGTCTGTATAACCATGGAGTCAGCCGAGCCACATGGGTTGAAAGGATGGTTTCTCTTGCCATGGTGCTATACCTTTATGCAACTTACACATCCCTCTGTCCTGTTCCTGTACCTGCAGTGAAGCTGCCGCCCATGCTGTCGCCACCCTGGCCGAGGCCACCTTGCAAGGAGGGGGACAGATCGTCCTGTCTGGGGAAACCGCAGCAGCCGTTGGAGCACTTACTGGAGTCCAAGATGCTAATGGTAAGAGAGCATAAATATTTTATTAAATTTCTTCCCTGTTTCCACTTAAACCTTCATGACATGACTGACAATAGACCCTTCAGAAAGAGGTTGAGCTTTGAATTTTTCTTTATTGTTAGGCAATTGATACCTAGGAAAATTCTAGGAGCCTCTGATCCCTTCACAAGTTGGAGACTTAGGGTCTCCTGGGGGGAAAAAAGTCATGGTAATGGCTACCTTACTGAATTGCTTATTTGAAAAGTGACTATTTTGCTATGACAGGACTTACTGAGAGGTACTTTAAAATTTGCTGTGGGGCTTATTTTGTCCTTTACTCTCCCATGGGGTAAATCTATGTCCTTTACTGTAGCAGAGACTGTCCCATGGTCAGGTGCATCGTGGCAGGGTGGAATGTTCTGACTATCTCAAGAAAGGCGCCTCCATCTCCCCACAGGGCAGCCAGCAGGCTGTGATGAATGTACTTCTCAGATTGGTGCTGTGGATTCTGTTCCCTGTTAAGTGGGCCTCACCAAAGACCTCTGGATTTAGGCAATACCCTGCCACCGTGTTGCCCTTCTTTCCCAGCTCTTTGACTTTGGAGATACCCCAAGTAAACAAAAGGGATAAAGTTCATAAAAATATGATGACAAAAATGTACAACTTCAGCCCAGCTCTTGAATCCCCTTTCACAGGTCAATTATCAAGACCTGGGCTACCCAGGGAAGTGCTTCAGAAGTCTTGGTCAAAGAGAACCAGCCATGTTCTGTGAGACTCTACGATTGTTTATTAAACTTTATATATATATTGGAGATTAGGTTAAGTGGGACCAATTAAGTACTCTGGTTTTAGAGATTTGTTGTTTAAAGTTTTGGAAAAAGGATAAATAATAATCATACTTTTATTTCGGCACAAAGTTCCTTTAATGGCATTAGTGGCCGAAAGAAAAGTCCCTGGTGCTTTTTTGGGGGTAGGTTCCCAAGAACTGTATAAGATGTTAGTTAGAAAATTCTTCAAAGAAAGACACAATGCTGTATCCTCCTCTGGAAGTACGAAGAAGAAAGAATTACTGTCCCCTAGAGAAGAATAACATGAGAAATGTAAAGAGCCATTGTGGCTCCTGAGAATCATTTTCTTTAAAAAAAAAAAAAGATACCAAATACTAAAACTACAGACCGCTTTTTCTGTAGGGCTAGGGGCTGCCATGAACTAACCCAAATAGAGAGTTGATCTTACCCAGAACACTGCAGGGTGAAGGGCATCTTGTGGTCATGTGTACTCAGGCTGAAATGAACCACAGCTAGAGTTAAGGAAATCCTCTCTTTAGGTAGAATCCTATCCCTATTTCATGCCTTTTTCTATTCCTCATCTGAGTACTAATCTACCTTAAACAGAAGGTAGGATATCAGGCCATGTGAATTCTTCCAAAGTGCAGTTGCTGTTACTCACTGGGATACTAAAAATACTTTTCTGTGTAGGTCTGATAGGAGATTTTGTTATCCCTTCTAAATGGTTTTGACCTGTCTGGGCATGGAGAACAGACTGCTGTATAGTTCCAGCTCCTCCCCAGCCTCATCTTTTCAGATGGGTGATTTTATAGGCGAGTATAAGGACCCTTTGGGTCTCCGACCAAACAGACCTATTGAGTCATATGATGAAGTTGAAACACACCCACTACTACTCACTCCTGGAAGCTGCCTCTTTCCAGAAGCTTTGGGTCATATGAATCAGTTGTGATTTCATGTTGATGGCTGCATCTGTGATAAGAGAAAATTCTGGTCTACATCCCCAAAGCCAGGGGTTCCCCAAAGCAGGCCAACCCCAGTTTGTGACAGCCAACAGGTGGCTCAACTCAGATTTGGGAAGTGAAGTTACTACTTTCTCAGTGCAGCTTTTCTATGTGAAATCAGACCACTCACTGAGTTGTGTCTTATCCTGGCAATTTTAGGCAAAGGTTTATCATTTCATCCGTCCCTTCAGAGAATGAATCAAATATTGGATATGACCCAAATTATAATGCTCCTTCTGTCTTAATACTTTTCCTCAGAGTGCTGTAGGATTTACTGTGGGACTAGAACTAGATTTTCCCATTTAACCAGCTAATTTGGTATCTGGCTAGACTTTTAGGGGTTCTCTTTTCAGTGTTCCTTCAGATGTGTCCCATTACCAGTACTTGTCACTTCTGTGACAAGGCTTTGGTGTCAGCCAATAGATCGAGTTTATTACTAGGAAGAAACAGATGAATTCCAGATTCCAGAGGATGGTTTAAACAAAAATTCTACTAGCAGATCACTCTTCAAAGAGCTATTTGGATATTGTTCAGGACTGAAGCAGATGGAGTTTCAGTGTCTCTGAGATGGAACTAGAAGGGGTGGAGGATTGTGTATGGAGTTTGACAGAGTACAACAATCAGTGAGAAATGACTGGGCCAGTGAAAGAATATGAAGCAGCATCCATAGGACACTTGTTTTCAGGTTAAAAGTAATGACCCATGCATGGCAGAAGTTTAATAAATTCCAGGTCACCAAAGCAGACCTGACAGACAGCTTGCACCCTAAGATGTCTTCTTTTTCTGGACCCTATCCCACCCCAACATTGAAGGGACCTCTCAAGCACTGGCATTACTTTATTTCATTTATGTTCTCCCTATTTCAAGAGCAGAAAATTAGTCTTCAATCACTTAGGATGGAGTTTCACAGTTTGGTTCAATTTAAAGATTTTTCACAGGTGCCTTTCTTTTTGCTGAAATGCAGGTAGAACTGCCTAAGGCTGGGAAAGGCCTCTTAATGACTGCCTTCCTTTACTTTTCCTTTTCTCTTTCCTTTTCCTTTCCTTTCCTTCCCTTTTCTTTTCTTCTTTAAATAACAGTTATTCCTTGCTTCCCCCCACCAACACACCTTAATATAAGAGGGCATATAGTATTTAAATGTCCATTGGTTTCCCTTCACTCTACCGTCCTCTATACCCTGCACCCTCTGTGCAGATGGACTCCAGGACTAGTGAACACAGGCTCATGCGGGGTGGGAGCACTCTAAGTGATATTCACTGCTCACCCAATCTTGCCACCCACTGTCAGCAATCCTCAGGGCACCATATCTACCTACCTTTTCCCTTCCTAATTTAGCAAAATAATGAAAAAAAATTATATTGGCACTTGGCCACCTCAGAAGTGATCTTAAAGATACCATTGCAGATTCATACAACTATCCTTCATTCCTAAAAGCTAGATGCAGAGGGGAGGGGTGGGGACAAAACAGATAACTGAAGTTCGTAATCAATAAAGGTAATGGGAATCAGCTCCTTCAACTACTGTCCCATCAAGCTGCTTACCAGAGCTGCTAAGAAAGTATCAACATTTTCTAAAATGGCTGGCACTTTTTCTAATGATGCTGCAGAAAATAGGGGACATAGCATTTGTTGGGTTTGTTTTGTTTGGTTTCGTTTGGTTTTCTGGCCCTGATTATAAAAATCATCCTTAATCCCAGTACATAGAATGTTAATATTTTGAGTTTTTAAAATACAGTCTTTTTTTCTCATTCAAAAAAACTTTTAACCTAATTAGGATCATACCTGCATTATTTTATAACTTGTTTTGAAATATTTAACCAATTTCATGTTAATATTTTTTGAAAAGATCCTTTAATACTTGCTAATATATCATATTTCCATCCTATTAACCAGTCCCCTACTACTAACACTTTATGTTACTAATAATTTTTTACAATAAAAACAATACTGTTTATCTTAGTATAAAATTTTGCCCATACTTTTGACTCTTGCTCTCGACATAGCCTATACTTGCTTATTCTTCCAACAGTTCTGTGGAGAACCTGCTTTGGTACCCCTTGACAACATTGGATGTTGACACAGTTTACTTTTTCTTTTCTTTTGGGGGTGGTGGTGAATCAGACCAGTTTTAGGGGCTCAGGAGAGGGTCAAAGGGCTGGGAGGATGAAGATCCTCAGCCCAGCTGGGATTTCTCAGCTTCAGAATCACCAAAAACTACTTTTCTTGTCTTTTCCTCTTTTCTTTTTTTTCTTCCTTTGACCTATTTGGTGGGCAGTAAGTTGTACCTCATTTTTAATTTGCACTTTTTGTTAGTGATAAATATCTTTACTTTTTTTCTTCATGTTTTTATCTACACTGTGTATTTAGTATTTGTCTATTTTTGTTCTTTGCCTTTTTTTCTGTTGGAGTATTTATCTTTCACTGATTTGGAAAATTATTCATATATTAAAGATATATGTATATATTACAAATAGTTTTCATAGTTTATTTCTATTTCACTTCTTTTTTCATTTTTATTTCCTTAATTATTTGTCTTTTGCCTTTTTGTTTACTTAAGCCCCAAATCAGATAAATATCTATATGCCAGTTCTTCTGTATCTCACTTTTTATTTTAAATACTGTTAAAATATCCAGAGTTTATTTTAGTATAGGGCATTATGTAAGAATCTGAACTAACCCCCCCCACCCCATCCCCTGGCCTCTGCCTTACATAATATAATTGTCCCAGCACTATTTATTCCATGAGAAGGCTGAAATCCATCCTCTCTAAACTGATCTGAAATGTCATCTTTATCATATGCAGAATTCTTAAATGGACTGGTAGGATCTTGTGTGGGGTTCTTCTATTTCTATTCATCTGTTTGTTCTGTTCCTTATACTGTAACATTTTATTATCATGGTCTTATTATTAGCAGGTAGTGAAAGGCCTGTCTCCAAATTTGGGGAAAAAAAAATTCAATAAAAAATCCAAAGAGTTTTTGTGGGGAGTGAACTCTTCAGTAATTTTAAAGTTCCTCCTGAAGAATTATACTTTAATATTTTAGTCATTTTTTTTTTTTAATCCTGCCAGGCCTTGTAGCAGAACTGCTAACAAAGTGTAAATTGACTAATAAAAGCTTTCTCCTCTCCTTGGACCTCAGCTTTCCTTGGAGCAGGGGATGTGGGGAATGTTCATTATCACTGAGATGGCTGGGGGGTGATCAGCAAGTGCTGTCAATACTGGTGCCCCAGTGAAC